ATTTTGCTGTTTATGTCGCTTTTGTTTTTGTTGTTTATGTTATGATATGCAGTTGTTGGTGATATAATGTCTGATGTTAGTACTTTGAAGTTTGTTGCTGATATAATTTTGATGTTGTGTTGGTATTTTGTTGGGTTTTTTATGTTTACATTTTTTGTTGTTGTCGAGAATTTTTTCGTTTTGAAAAATATCTGTTGATGTTATGGTTTTGCTATTTTTTATGTTTATTTTACGTTGTTTTGTTGTTGTTGTGGTTGTGGTTGTCGTTCGTTGTTGATTTTTCAGTGTTGATATTGCTTGCGGCGCCATCTGAATGCAAATTCTTCATCAAATGTTTAATTAAATTATGGTAAAAATTAAATTTTTCATCCGTTCAAAAGGCGCCAAATTACGACTCGAGGCGGGACAATTACCGAACGTACAAGGAATTGAAATATGCCACTTCATTGTCGACGTCGCCATCTTGGTTTTAATGATAGTGTCATCATTGTCGTCGTTGTCAGATTTGCTCAATGGTGATATCTTCAATGTCCTTATCATCATCATTGTTTCTTATTTGTCCTTATCATCATCATTGTTTCTTATTTGTCCTTATCACCATCATTGTAAACTCGCCAGTTTGTTATCGTCCTTGCTCAATGATTGCATTGTATACTATCATTTTAGTTTTGCACGTTTAGTTGATGATATCTGTATCATTTTGAGTAGGTTTCAATCATTGTTGTAGTTGTTTTTTAATGATGATATTTTAATATGAGAAGCTATCCTAATTTGATGATGAAGAAGGTGATCATCATTATTATGAATAATTTTCATCACCTTTGGGGATTTTAATATCACCTCTGCTTATAAAATTATACGATATGTAGGCTACGAGGAGTTTTGATTTATGAACCGAACAACTAGATCAAAATACGTAGAATTCTCTTCAAATCAATACGCTGCATCAACTCGTCAGCGTAAATTTTCCACCTCAACTAACATTAAATTTTTTGTTTTCTTCAAAAAGTTGGTGTCCTCAAAATAAGTTCACAATGTTATTTTTTTGTAGACCATTATTTAACTTAAGACTTTTTTTTAAATGCTTTTCTGTTTTGTTTGGTTAGAACTAGTTCTATTCTTGCTTATTTTGTGATTCCCATATAATTTCAAGTCGTCGTGCTGCCGAAAATTTTTTTTAATTCTTTTTTTTTAATAATTTTTATTTATTTTATTGATATTTTCATTAATTCTTGGTCTAAAAATTTTATATGTTTTTAATTTAATTATATTACATGGTTTTTATCGCTTTGTAACATAATACAAAATTCAAAACACTTAATGCATTGAAAATCAACTCTCATTTTTCAGTTTACTCTTGAGAAAAAAGTTTAACATTTATTCATTTCTGGATGTAACGATAAAGTGCTTGGTACTGCAGTTGTAGTGACCAGACTCAAGTGCAAAAAAATCCCCGCCTATAACATGCAACTAGTTACTAACAACTACTGCTACTGCTTTTCTTACTAAATCTGATTTTATTTCAATGACTTCTACTACTGTTACCACAATTACTACAACTACTACAATTATTATTACTACTACTCCATTTACAACTACAATAACTGCTGCTGCTACTACTACTGCTATTAGTGCCACTACTACTACTACTACTACTACTGCTACTTTTATTTTGGGTGCATTCGTGGCCTAAAATATGTACCTTATGTAACCATAATGATGATGCATGTTTGCGCATTTATATGTAATAATTAAATGTATGTATGTATGTATGCGGATGCATTTGTTTATGTTTTCGTATGTATGTATGTTTGTGTGTGTGTGTGTTTGTTTGTTTGTGTGTGTATTAGTATACGTACGTGTGTTTTTTTATGTCTGTTTATATGAAAATTACACAAATACGTTTTCATGCGTATACTAGCCGTAAGATTTTGTATTGTTTACATGGTTATTTTGTACATTCTATATTTTGTACGTTGTATTTAGTATATTTGTGTACCTACAGTGAAAATTTGTGTATATACGTGTACATTGTATACGTTTGAACATTGTATATATGTATACCATCTGTTTGTATACTTGTATACTTTGGGTACTTGTATAATGTACACTATATCGTTGTTTGTATGTATGAACATTGTACTCACCTGTTGTACTAATGATGATCTAAGGTGTACTAATGTTATTTTATACGTGAGGTGATGCATCATACTGCATTTCAACGTTCGTTTTTATCTATTTGCTCTTAGGTATGTATGTACTTTGTGTCGTCTGCTTGTGCGTGTCTTTGTATGTGTGTATGTATGTATATGTATGTATGTATGTATATGTATGTATGTATGTATGTATGTGTATGTATGTATGTATGTATGTATGTATGTATGTATGCATGTATATATGTATGTATGTATGTAAATCTCGTAAAACTTGATTACAAAAATGTATGTATGTATATATGTATGTATGTATGTATGTATGTATGTATGTATGTATGTATGTATGTATGTATGTATGTATGTATGTATGTATGTATGTATGTATGTATGTATGTATGTATGTATGTATGTATGTATGTATGTATGTATGTATGTATGTATGTATGTATGTATGTATGTATGTATGTATGTATTATTGTGAAAAGCGATAATATTTTTACGTGAAAAATGGCGGTATGAATGTATAAAAATTAGTTGACGATATCTTGATGAAGAAACAAACGAATAAATATTCATTACATTTCCATTCAGTAACCATGGCTACGATGACAGCGTCTGTGGGAGTCATTTCATAGGAAGACATCAACACAACAAAAACAACAACAAGTACAACATTTGAATCAACGACAAACAACGTCAACAACAACAAACAACAACAACAGCAATAGTAACAACAGCAACAACATCAACAACAACATTAATAACATCAACAAACAACAACAAACAGCAACAACAGTATAACATCAATAACAAACATCAATATAACAAACATCAACAACATCAACAACAACATTAAAAACAACAACATCAAAAACAACAGCAATAACAAAAAAAAATGGACTCGCCAAGACGAGGAGCACCATCAAACAAAATTATGATAAATTCATAATATAATATTTAATTTTCTCCGATGAGATTAATCAAAAAATTCTTGCGATCAAGTTTTTTTGCCCTTCGGCAGCGTTTAATGGCTCAACTGCAACGTGTTGAAAATAAAAATGAGCCCAAAAGCTCCATGTTGAATTCATGAAGCCATATATTCACACCTAAAACAACCAAAATAACAACAACAGCTGCAAACAACAACAACAACAGTAACAGCAACAAAAAGATCGACAATAATAAATAATATAAAATTAGCTGCAACTCCATTACTAACACATCAACCAGTACATCAACAGCATCAATAACAACACATCAACTACCACAACAACAACAATGCAACATTATTGCAACAGCCAAACAACAACAAAACTCATCGCCGTGCTCATCATCCTATCTCTGCAACACCCGACAAGCAATGCTACAAAAGTTCTATCATCATCACACAACAACAACATCAACAAAAACATTAACAAACAACTCAGCATCAACAGCAGAAAACAAGCAAACAACAACAACAACATCAAAGACATCCCACCAATCACATACACCATCACGGAGAACAAGTACTACAATGACGTCATTGGAGACATCCTCATCGATTCGGATATCAGGCGCAAGTACGATGAACATGAAATTAACGTTGGTATTGTTTGAGCTGCAGTTTCAAATTATTATTATCATTAATGTTATTAATATTATTACTAATGTTGTTGTTTTTGTTGTTGCTGTCGTCGTCATCGTCGTTGTTGTTGTTGCTAATGTTGTTGTTGTGATTCGTTTCCTTTTTCTTCTATCTTTATTATTCTCCTATCTAATATTTAGCTCTTCTTCAGTTACAATAATTTATTTATGTTCATTCAAGGCATATTTTAAGAATTATTAATTAATTACTTTTATCATTATATTATTTTGTTTTAACATCAAAATACAACACATCAACAACCAAAACAACAACAATGCAACATTATTGCAACAGCCAAACAACAACAAACGTTTTCCTACGAACGATTTTAGTATTCAGTTTAATGCCAAGATATATTTCAAGTAATAATTATAAAATTGAATAAAATTTCTAACAAAGACGATGGAATTTCAATTACCGTACGATCCGGTTATACCGGTTTCAATCGGTAACTCCGGTCGGATGTGGGTGCGGGGAAATATTGATAGGGAGGACATAGAACAGTGTCGCGGAAGGTCCAAGTGTGAAGTTGGCGTTGATGTTACTGTTCAGCCTGTTAACTACTTCCATATATTTAAGGTTAGTTGGTTGGTTGATTGATTGGTTGGTGTATTGGTTGGTTTATTGGTTGGTTGATTGATTGGTTGGTTGGTTGGTTGGTTGATTAGTTGATTAGTTAGTTAATCAATGGATAGCGTTGGTTTGTTAATTTGCAAAGCTTATTGTTTGTGAAGAAATTAATTTTTTTTAAATTAATTCCATTCTCTCATCCCTCAAAACTTCTACAAACTCAGATAAACATTGAAATAATTGACGTGAACGATAACGAGCCGAACTTCCTGAACCGAACTTACTACCTGAACATCAGCGAGTCTTCGGCCATCAACAGCACATTCCTCCTTCCCACAGCGATCGACTTCGACCAACCAGAGAACGGAGTCATCCATTACGAGCTGGCGGAAACTTCGGGTTTGATCAACAACATCAAGCCCAACAAAACCCACAAGAATCTAACCAACAATTACAACAACCCGAGTAAGAACAAACCAAATACTTACAACCATGAAAAGAACCAGAAAAATGTACATAATTACAAGCAACAAGCAAAACAAATTGGAGAAGAGAAAAAGGAAGAAAAAAAGTTTTGCAAGACAGTTGACAGCAGCAGAAACAAGTCACACCGACCACTTAAACTTCAGGTTACAGATTCTGGCATATTCGGTTTGCTGACTACCAAAGAACCAGACGGAACGCTGGTCTCAAAGTTGATCCTCCTCAAAAAATTAGATCGGGAGCAGAAAGACAAGTACTTTCTCATCCTCACTGCTTGTGATCCGGACAAGTTAGTCCACACACTTTTTTTATTTTTCATTTTTATACAAATTAAATTTTTCAGGTTACAAATAATTCGTATAATGGTCAACATTCTGTTCTAATGTTGACAAAACTTGTCACACACCTGTAAAGTAAATGGTCGTGAACATACATATGTGGTTTTATAGTTTATCGTTAGTCAAAATATAGTTGTTGAAAAATTGTCTTTGTAGTAGAAACTCAACAAAATAAATGTCGCCTTCTCAGTTTTAGCAAGGAAAGTAGCACCAGGTACGAGAACGACGGCTCACTGATCTAGACTTCAATTTATGGGACTGGCGTAGAGTTCTGGGTGATGATGACGACGACGGTGATACGATGATATAATATAATGCCGCTACAAAAAAAAAATAAGAAAATCAATTTTTCAGTATTTATATTAGCAGTTACTAGCTAGCATTAATACTATTATTATCATTAGTACTACGATTATACCAGAAATGGTAGTACTATTGTAGTAGTAAGAAAAGTAGCAGTAGTGTAGTGGCAGTAGTGGAGGTAGTAGCAGTAGCAGCAGCAGTAGTAATATGTGTGCAGTTGAAATATGATAGTGTTGATTAATAGGAATCGACATCTGCTTTTCTTTGTCATTACTTTTGTTAGCACCGTGCAAATATTTGTTTTCCAATACAAACATGTGTACACGAATGTTTATCTCCTTTATAACTATCTTCACGTATGTTCCTTTAACATATAAATATTTGTACATAGATTTGTATGTTTGTTTTTACATAATCAAATTAACTTTGATGCATACCAATATAATGTTTTATTAAACAAACACAACCATAACAGTCCTAACATACACAAACATCTGTAAAGTATTTGAAAATCGGAAAATATTGACCGTCTGTAACGCAAGCGTTCAAATTTTTAATTATTCAGTAAGTGTTGGTAAACACATAAATTTCTTTAAAAATACGAAATTGAAATAAATGTTTAATATGTGTACCTGTGTGTGCATTTATGTGTGTGTATGTGTGTCTTTTGTGTGTGTACACTTACGTTAACATGCATCTACAAATGCATACATTACATATGCACACGTTTTCATAAACGTTTTGTTCATTGAAATATCTGACCCGAATACATATCAATCAAAGATATATTTGCCATTACAATATGTCCGTTGAATGATTGGTTGCTTGATTGGTCAGTTGTTTGATTGATTGCCGGTTTGTTGATTGATTGGCTTGTTAATTGGTGGCTGTATTAATGTTGGGTTGTCTTAATTGATAGATTGGTTGCTCATTTCTTTGGTCATTTGATTGCTGTTTTATTAGTTGTTGGATTAATTAATAATAATTGACGGCTTGATTGGATGGCTGTAGCGTGGAATTTTTTTTACAAAATTTAAGTTTTATTTTCTCTTAGCAAACGTTTGTTTTAGTTTCCACTTTTGTTTCAAAAATTGTATTTTCAGTTTCAATTTCAATGTTTACTTTACAGTTTGAAAATTAAAAGTTTAACTTTACAAATTAAAACAGTTTCCTTTCAGCAATTTACAATTCAATATTTTGTTTCTAGACGGGCTTGACAAAAAGTCGGTCACAATTTAACAAGGTGGAAACTTCACATTCCTTTTCCTTTTAAGTTGAGTCGTCGGTCCACTATCTAGTCTTTCAAAATTATTGAAATAATTCCATACGAAAATTCTCTCTCTCTCTTTCTCTCTCTCTTTACTTTTCGTAAAATCTTGTTGATATTTATCATTCTTGGTTCTTTTTTCAGCCACCTTCTTTTGAATATTTGGCTTCCATGTGCATTTTCAACTCTCACAATTTACATCCTACCACATTCATCATGCCATCATCGCCTAGTCACGTGCTTGCGTCATTTCTGACTCGATAATTGGAATAATCTGACGTGGCACCACTTGGAAGAAGCAAGCTGTCACCTCATTCCTTTGTTAGTTTAATTATAATTATCTTAATTTCATCATATCTTAATCAGACTTCATTATTTTAAATATTAATATAATTATCAGAAAATGCGTAGTAATTTTTTAGATCGTCATCATTGCAATCACGTATAAACATCATCATCTTCATCATCACCACCACACATAAACATCATCATCTTCATCATCACCACCACACATAAACATCATCATCTTCATCATCGTCATCACAAACTCATCGTCGTTGCCATGGAAACGTTCAGTGTGTCATCATCCTCAATGTTAACTGGCGGTTGTTTTGTTTATTTGAGTTTGCCGTTGCGCGTGTGTGTGTTTGTTTGTTTGTGTGTGCGCCCATTTGCATATGTGTGTGTGTCTGTGTGTGTGTGTGTGTGTGTGTATGTATGTGTATGTGTGTGTGTTTGTGTGGGTGTAGATGTGATGTGTAATTGTTTTGTCTAATTAGCTAGAGCTCGCATTACACACGTTCTACCTCTAGGTTAGTTTGTTGGTGATGGTGATGGTGATGATGATGGTGATGATGATGAGGACGATGATGATGGTGATGAAGATAATGATGATAATGCTAAAATCAACATCACCTTGAAGATATTATGATACTGATCGTAAATTTGATGATACTGATGAAAATGATATTAATTTGGACGATGATACCATAATTAATGATACATCGTTTGTATATTGATCAATATTGTCAACTCATTTTGACCATTTATTTCGACCTTAATTATTTACCCACACATCAATAATCATTAACTCTCTCTTCATAAATTTTAATCATCGTCATCGTCTTCATCATCATCAGCATCGTCTGCATCGTCATCATCATCCTCATCATCATCACCATCATCACTGTTATCGTCACCACCATTATTGTCATCGTTATAATCACATTCAAAATTGTTGGCACACTTCAAATTAAGTTTTCAAAATATAAATTTAGATATCATAGTTTAAACCATGCAGTTACACTGATTAGAAATTAATTATCATCGGCACATCCTCAAAAACATTGTTTTCATCATTATTTTCACCAACTTTCGTCTTTGTAATCATCATCGTCATCTTCTTCATCATTGTCATCATCATTATCGTCGTCATCATCTTCGTTGTCGTCGTCATCGTCATCATCATCATCGTCATCGTCGTCGCCATCATCATTATCATCATCGTCATCATCATCATCATTATAGTTTACTTTTGCTATTGTAATCACATTATATTATATTGTCATTTAACATTTCATATTCATTCCATTCACAGAGACCTAACGTCATTATCATCTTCAACATCAAAAAACCTCATTACCATCATCATCACCAGAACCATCACCATCACCAAAGGACATCACCAAAGAACACCATCATCATCATCATAACCAAAGTACATCATCATCATAGCCAAAGAATTTTACCATCATCATCATCACCAAGAACCTCATCGCCATAACAATCATCATCGTCATAACAAAAGAACATCATCATCATCACCAAGAACATCATCACCATAACCAAAAAACATCACCATCATCCTCATCATCGTCGTCGTCATCATCTCAGCTGACAGATGCGAAATGACGCCTGTCAAATTCGCGTTAATTAAACGACTGCAGCATTTGCTCGCATGAAGTAATGATCGGACCATCCTGCCTTATTAATACGCAACACATACAAACATACATACATACATCCATACATACATACATCCATACATACAAACATACATACATACATACATACATACATACATACATACATACATACATACATACATACATACATACATACATACATACATACATACATACATACATACATACATGCTGCTTTGGACAAACAACATGTGGCTCTAGTCGCGTTTTTAGATATGAGTGCGGCATTTGATTGTGTAGACCATCAGATTCTCTTGGAAAAATTGGTTCATGATTATGGTATTTCCGGTACTGTTATCAAGTGGTTCAGATCATATCTGTTTGACAGAAAGCAACAAGTAGTCTTCAATAATGTGTTATCTAATGAAACGGTTTTGACATCAGGAGTGCCACAAGGTTCAGTGCTTGAGCCTATTCTTTTTATCATGTATACCGCTGAAGTTTTTAAAGTAATTGGTAATTTCGGTTTTAAATATCATGCTTATGCTGATGATATTCAGATTATAGTTAGTAATAAGCCAGAATTACTGCAATCTGAAATCAACAAACTTGTAACCTGCCTAAATAACATAGATAATTGGATGTCAAACAATGGTCTTAGATTAAATCAGCAGAAGTAAAAATTTGTTCCAATAGGTACATGGCAGCAGCTGATGGAACTTAATATCAATTCAGTGAAAATAGGAGATGTTATAATAGAATTTAGTGACAAAGCAACTAATCTGGGTTTCATTCTTGATTCTAGATTATAGATGCATGATCATATAAAGATGATAACAAATTCTTGCTCCGGACAGATTCGAGAACTCTATAAACTCGTAAGTCATTAGATAAATCTGCTATTCATACCTTGGTGCATGCATTGGTTCATTCACGATTGGACTATTGCAATGGTCTGTTTTACGGTTTGCCAGATAGGTCTATTTCTGCAATTCAATCTATTCAAAATAGAGCAGCCAAATTGATTGTCGGAGATCTCAAATTTAACCATGTTACTCCAATTCTTAAGAGCCTTCATTGGCTTACTATAAAGAAAAAAATTAAATATAAAATATGTGTTTTAATGTATAAAACTGTGCATGGCTTGTTATCAAGTTATTTGATAGATAAAATAAAAGAAAAGTCTATAATGATGAGTGGCATGAACCTTAGATCAGATGATGGCATTTTGCTGGTGTCAATCTGCAGATAGCATCAAGAGATTTTGCAGAGTCTGGACCAATGGTTTGGAACAGCTTACCAAGATCTTTTAGAACTAAAGATTTGAACTTGATGATTTTAAAAAGAAACTTAAAACTTACTTATTTTCGCTTTGATTTTGTTGTTAAGTGAATAATTATTTGTTTGTTACTACCGCCATTGACTGTACTTTTTTCTTTTTTGACTTTGTTTGATTATAGATAGCGCTTTTGAGAACTTTTTGATTTTAATTAGCGCTTATAAATGTTTCATTAATAATAATAATAATACATACATACATACATACATACATACATACATACATACATACATACATACATACATACATACATACATACATACATACATACATACATACATACATACATACATACATACACACACACATACACACACACACACACAAACATACATACATACATACATACATACATACATACATACATACATACATACATACATACATACATACATACAAACAAACAGTAATAAACGAACAACGAGAAACAAGCGCGAACGCAAACAAACAAAACAGACACACGTGAGGCCACCACTCTGGTAAAAATTGATTTAATCAAACAAGAAATCAAACTCACAATTAATTAATAATAAAACGTGGCACAAACAAACAAACATACAAAGACAAACAAAACACACACACAAACATACAAAGACAAACAAACACACGCACACGAACACTTACAAACTTTGTCTCGTTTATTTAATAATTTGTCTCTGTGATTCTTACAAATGTTTTTGTAAAATGAATTTTTGTGTGATAATAAACCACTGTACATGTTTGAGATAAACTAACAAACATTTACATCAAAACAAAAACTGTATGTTTGAGATTGAAGCTAATTCAGAACTTTTGTTACAAACAAAATCCTACAAACATAAAGTTAAAAAGAGATATGCACGGACAAAAAAATAACACGTGAACAAATAGTTTCCTCTTTGGATTTTACGAATCAACCACACAAAACCCGTCGCCCCTACCATTTAAATCACAAATTATTTATTCTAAAGAACAAATGAGAAATGACTTTCCCGTGTGTTTGGCACATTGAAATGAAATTGTGAAGACGCTTGGATAGCTAATATGTGCAGAGGTTTGGTGCGGCCAGACAAGATGGTTGTTTGGCCCGTGGTCATATTTCGCAAACGAATACAAAGTTTCACGCTCATGTTTGCAAACAATCATAAGCATGGTTGAGATTGAGCTTTAGATGTTTCGCTTGTTTATGATGTCATAATGATGATTATTGCTAGATGCCTTGATGAGTATTTGTACGTGTGTTTCTGTTAGTGTTTGTCTGTATGCGTAGATGTTTATGCTTATGTATGTATGTAAGTGCAATTATGAAAACGCTCTGCATAAAGTTCACGTGTGTGTGTGTGTGTGTATGTGCGTGTGTGTGCGTGTGGATGTGTGCATGTGGATGATGTGTGTGTTGGGAGGTGTGAGTGGGTGTAGTAGTTTGCGTTACCATGTGAACTCCGCCTATAAATATTTTAGTTTCGTTTTTTAAAAAAAAATGGCGGTTGACTGAAGCCATCCGTGCTGTTGTGCATACAAAACATTTTTGTATGCGAGGAACATATTTTTGTATGCGAAAAACATATTTTTGTATGCGAGAAACACATTTTTGTATGCGAGAAACACATACAATCATGTTTGTATGCGAGAAATAAATGCAACCATGTTTGTATGCGAGAAATACATACAACCATGTTTGTATGCGTGAAATACATACAACCATGTTTGTGTGCGAGAAACATACAACCATGTTTGTATGTGAAAATCACATACAACCATGTTTGTATGCGAGAAACATACAACCATGTTTGTATGCGAAAATCACATACAACCATGTTTGTATGCGGTAACACATACATGCACACAATTTATGTTTATAGTCACGAATACAAGTGCACTTATGATTTGTACAAACTTTTGTTAACATAACAATGTAAAAAAATTTGTTTCCATTTGTTTGTGTATCTGTTTGTTGGTATCTATTTATTGTATACGTTTGTTTGTATCGGTTTGTTTAGGTGTGTGTGTTTCTATCTTTTAACGTTCTTTTTCAATTTCATAATTAAGTTCATTAAATTACTCGAAAATTTTGATTGCTTTTTTTGTGTGACTGACTGTGACTCATGTGTGTCTGTGTATGGGGTTTGTTTGAAATTTCAAAAATTCTTAATTTAAATGTAATTGTTGCTGTTAATTCGAGTTTTAATATCCTCGTTCAAGCATGTATTTCGGAAATTCTGGGTAAGACATTTTTATGCGTTGGTGTAATTGAGATGTGTTTAACTGTCTGTCACTTTATTTTCACTTAGTTATTTTTTTCTCAAATTAACTCAACAGTTCATTCTATACATGCAGCTAAAAGTTACAATATTTTTTTTGCTTATTTCCGCCAGTTTTTGTTCGTTTAATACATATTTATTTGCGTTATGTTCTGCGCGTTGTTATAGCGGATTCTACGTTTGTCGAAGTCTGATTATTTTGAAGAATAAAAATTTATTTAGTTTTTTGAAATTAAACTCGTGTGCTTTTATGTGTCTGTGCGTGCCTGTGTGTATATACATAAAATATATGAACGTGTTGTATGTGTGCATATGCTTACATAAGTTTATACATGTTTATATATGTTTGTATGCGTTTAAATATGTTTGAATGTGTTTAAATATGTTTGTACATGTTTGTATGTATCTAAATATGTTTGTATATGTTTAAACACGCGTGCACGAGTGGCATTATCTTGCACTTCAATCGTAAATAAGCGCACGTTCTACATGGTCCTCGGAAAATATTGAGCAAACAACATCTCTTTATAAACTGCCACTGCTGCTGTTTTCGTTGCTACAGCCGCCCTTGTCGTAGCTGCCAGTGCGCTGATACACACAGTCACTTCTTTTTAACTGTACACGTCCACACGTGCACATATCTGTGCTATACCTGTATATAAATTCTTACTAGTGAACGCGCGCATTTATCAAAGCAAATTTTTTTTCATATTTATATACCTACACGCATGCACACACTTAAACATACTCGTACACAAAACCTCACACACACCCCACACACACAAACATTTACGCTCAGATACAAACACTGACACACACACGCGCACACATATACATAAAAATAAACTCACATACACATACACACAGACAACAACAACAACAACACAACATGGCAGTTCGGACACGGTCAACATTGTGGTGCAGGTGCAGGACTCGAACGACAACAAACCTCGATTCGAGAGGGACAGCTATGAAGTGGACATCCCTGAAAATTCACCGCCAGGAACTCACGTCCTTCAAGTTAAGGCTACTGATGCTGACCTTGGAATCAATGCCAAGGTCAGATGTGGATAATGATGATGATGGTGATGATGATGATGATGTGGATGATGATGATGATGTGGATGTGGATGATGATGGCAATGAGGTTGACGATGATGATGGCGATGATGATAGTAATGATTTGAATTTTGAATTTATTTTAAGGATGACTAAAAAAGATAAAATGAAGAGGATGATAATGATGACGATGATGATGGTGACGATGAAGTAAATAAATAACCGTGACAACGCTTTTCACCGAAACCGTGATTTTTTTACTAAAATGATTGCAAACGCTGCCTTATTGGGGATAAAATTTAAATTGTTATAATTGATAAATTTCGTTAATTGATGAATATTTTGGTAGATATAAATAAGACGATGATAGTTCTGATAAGCCTGACAAATGTAATGACGAATGTAGAGATAACAACAAAAACGTCATCATAACTATATTAACAACAGTTTTGTCTGCAAAAAGATTATCACAATTATATCCACATTAGGTTCGTTATGGATTGACCGCGCAGTCCCACTTGATGTATGGGCACATATTCAAGATGGATAGGGAATCAGGAATCCTGTACGTCGTCGGATTGGTTGACAGAGAAACAAGTCCAGTGTATCAACTCGGAGTTACTGCTGAAGATATGGGTTGGTTTGTTGGTTGGTTGGTTTGTTGGTTGATTGGTTGTGTGGTTAGTTATCTGATAGACTACTTGGTTGGTCAATCAGTTGGTTTGTCTGGCTGTCAGTCGGTTGGTGGTTTGGTTAATCGGTTGGCTGGTTAATAAAACAAGCGTTTTGTTTGATAATACTGTAGTGCCTGTTATATTTATATTTTATTTTATGTTTAACCAATCGCACCAATAATAATTCTAAATGTTCAAATGAAAAGCTATGATATTTTTTCACACAAACACTCACCAATTTGACGCTAGTTAAACTTAAAAGCATAGAATATTTTATTTTATAAAAATTAATTAATTATTCTTATTATTTTCCTAACAGGCTGTTTTTTTATAAAATCATAGTAATACAACCATTTATTCATTTTATTTTTCAATTTTTCTAGTTTTTCAGAATTTTATTCACAATATTAACATAAAATATTTTGTTATAAATTGACATAAAATGCAATAAGTAAAAAATCAGCTTTAGTATTAAAAAAGAAAAATTGTTAAAACCGCTTAAAAATGAGAAAATTAAAATATAGAACGTTGGAAGCATTGACAAAGTGCTAACAAAGTTAAAGCATGAATTAAATTAGAAAAAACATTTTTGAAAAACTGTCATTATTAAGCTAAATTCTTTAAAATTTAATTCCATCTATCAAATTTTAACATTAACTTTCTGTTATATTTCATTTTTTAAGATTGTTCATTTTTCTTCTTCACTCATATCATACATTAGCTATCGATTTTTGAACATTCATTCGAATGAATTTCACATTAATTTCATTCATTTATCAATTTCTTTTCAGTTAAGTACAAAGGTATCACATTTTCAATGTATTTGTCTATTTCCAAAAAATATATTACTATTACTTTTCTATCATATTCATTCATTCATCCATTTAAACTATCTTTCTATTATGTTTATCCCTTCATTCATTCATTCAAACGATCTATATGTCCATCAATCTATCCAAACCATCTTTCCATCCATACTTTCTGTCTATCAGATTCATTCATCCATCTGTTTGATGAGCCGTGGTCGTTCAATTCGTTACATTTTCTAATTATTTTCATGTTCCTGCACGCTTCATTGCTCCAACTCTGCAACAAGTGAGCGAATGATTATGTAGGCAAAAAAAAATACGAAGATTATATCAGAAAAATGGAAGAAAAATTTAAAAAGTATAGATAAAACAGAATTCATTTACTTCGCTATTTTAAAAAATATCGAGTTATAAAATTTTTTTATCTTATATAAGATTTATAATGATCATGCTACATATAGGTGAATGAATAAAAAACGAATTATTAAAAAAATTGGCAAACATATTTAAATGCATCTGAATGAAGCATTATTGGACGATTTGGTTCATTGGTATGTAAAATTATTTATTTAAGAAAATCATTTGAGTCGCATGAAGTATGAAAATTTTTATTTGTTATAGTGTTTAAAACGAGCTAGCAAATGATAATTAAGAGATATTAAATCAATCAATTACGAACCAAACACTTCAAACAACAACAACGGCTAAAACTTAAACAACAAAAACATCAACAATCAATTTTAATAATGACATCAAAAACCAAAACATCAGCAAAAATATAAAAACAGTTACATGGCTACAAAAAACAACAGGACCAGACTCCCACCCAGTAGATGTGGCAGCGGCAATCCGTGTGCTGGACGAGAACGACAACGATCCGGAAATAACTATAAACTCACTTCCGTCAATCTCCGAACTGATGGAAAACTTTGATCGACCACTGACGGCGGCTAAAGACAAACTTGACGTTGCGGTCATCGCGGAGAATAGTCCAAAGGGAACGTTCGTGGCGCAAGTTACAGCTGCTGATAGTGACAGAGGAAAGAATGGATCGGTGAACTGCAGCATCTCTGAGCAATTTGTACTTGCTGAAGAAATGAAACCCGTTGGCGCCGAAAATAATTTTAATTATTATGATAACTACAACTTTAATAATAAAAATTTTGTAAACAATATGTTTGGAGACAGAAGTGCTAAAAGTAAAGTTCCAACAAAATCTCGTTTAGAAAGGAGTGGACATGAAAAACGAATGGAGAGAAATAATGAGCCGTTGGAGTATTTAGCACTGTATGAGAATTTGAATGAAAATCTAACAGTTGACAACGAAATATCTCGCAATAATGTTTCTAAAACGAAAAACAAAAAGAGGGCAATGCAATCAAATTCAGAACAGTCGCCTCTTAACGTCAGATCATCAACCGAACTTACAAAAATAAACGACCATCCTGATCCATTCGTTATATTACGCAGAGATACGCAACATTTCGGTGAAGTTGAATACCAAATAATAACCAACGGGAACTTGGACCGCGAGAAAGCACCGAACGGTTACCGACTAACCGTTGAATGTTCCGATTTCGGCAGTCCGTCGAGAACAACTCGAAAGCAGTTAATCGTCAATTTATCCGACGATAACGATAACAGTCCCAAGTTCAACAAATCAACGTACGCCATTCGAATAGTTGAAAACACACCAGCCCCCACCAAAGTTCTGCTTCATGTCACAGCCACCGATTTGGACGACGGAGCGAACGGAGATGTGCGCTATCGCATCGACGAGTGGAGTTGGATTCCCGCTGAGTACAGAAACTCCTTCGCAGTCGACAGTGAAACTGGAAGTGTCATTGCCTTGATCTCCTTTGATAGAGAAATTTTGAGCGAAGTCCAATTCAAGGTTTAATTAAATGTTAACAATTTTTTAGTCAAATTTTCGTTAAATTCAATTGTAAAATATGAATTGGTATAAAAAAAGATGGTAATTAGAATAAAATGATAAAAAACTCTGATGAATATTTCTTCATCCACCACCCGACCCGAAGGTACTTGCCAGCGACAACGGAGACCCGATAAGAACCGGCATATCGACAGTTGTGGTGTCCATCGAGGACGAAAACGATCAGACACCAATGTTCAACGAGAGTAAATATTCTTTCTCCATTTTTGAAAATCAACTTCCGTCAACTTTTGTAGGTCACGTGGTGGCAACAGACTTCGACATGGCCCCATTAAACAACCAATTATATTATGCCTTAGAAGAAGTAAGCATGAGCATTCGTATGAAATAAATGTGAGATGGCTGTGAATTTAAACTATAATCAAATAATGAATGCTGAAAAAATTTTGTTTGTCATAATTTTTATTTTAATAAAATGATACTACATTTGTGATATTGCAAGTATTTGCAGTAATTAAAATTGCGTGAAATAATTTTTTTAAGTATTAAAATTTATACCTTGAAAACAAATTTTTTGTCGCTAGAAATCAATAACATCCAAACTCTCGCAACCGTCATCGGCAACCAAAACAACACTCGACAACTTCAATTTGTCGGATTTGGTAACAACAAAATCCGACAACAACAACAACAACAACAACAACAACAACAACAACAACAAAGACGACGACGACGATCTCAACAACAACAATCATTTTGCCATAAACGAGTACAACGGTACCATCTACACCCTTACTTCACTGGACCGAGAAACTCGACCGATATACTACTTCAAGGTAACCGCAACAGACAAGGGCAATCCATCTCTCGTCGGCACAGCCGATGTTGTGGTGTTTGTTAACGACATCAACGACAACTCACCATTCTTCACCCACCCACCTTCGTTCGATTTCCCCATCCACATTTCGCCAACTTCTCCCGTTGGACAACCGCTGCTGGTGGTTTCTGCCACTGACAACGACCTCGGTTCAAATGCACGCGTGTCGTATCGTGTGTCTAGCTGTCTTTTGATTGATAACGAAAAAAATAATAATGACGACGAGTTTGGTTTTAGAGAAAACGTTGATGATATCAACAATAATGGTGGTGCAGAGGTTAGTGATGATCCAAACAGTAGGAGGAAGAACATTGATGACGACAATTACAAACACAATTCATTGGAAGGTCAACATTTGGATGAAAATATCTCAAATGACACCAACAAAAACTTTAAAGATAATAGTGGCAGTAGTATCAAAAGTAATATGACAATTCGCTCGTTGTCCTCTCTGTCCTCCACAACTCTCTTATCACCAACATCAGCACGAGTAACACAATCATTTCAAACATCGTCGTCTACACTTTCATTGCTAACATCACCAACGACATTTTCATTGTTTCCAACAACATTGACAACAACAACAACAACAAAACCATGTTCGACTTTCTTCATGGATCACTCGCTTGGCATCCTTTATACGAATCTCGATCTAACTCCACACACTGGAAGGACGTGGGTAGTTCGTTTGATTGCTGAAGATGCCGGCGAACCATCCCTGAAAACTGACGCAATTCTTCAACTAATAGTAAACCAGTCAACGGTCTGGAAATGGCCTGAAAATTTGAGTTTAGATCAAGATAAAACGAACGCAAGGCACTTCATTGAGAAAAAACCATTGCTGGTTGTGTTAGTTGCCTGCGCAGGTTTAGCCTGCGTTTTAATTGTTTGCGGATCTGTGGCTTTAATGATGGTGGTCGTTCGTCGGTTAAAATGCAATCGTGGTCAAATAGTTGCTTGCGGCTACACAAACACTGGTGCTTCAAATCGTAGCGTCGGTAGCAGCTGTGGTTCCAGCGTCGGTCAAGTGGCAAACAGCAATCACAACTATGTGACGTCGTCGTGCTTTCAAACAAAAGCAAATCGAAAAAAGATATCGAATAAAAATGGACGATCGAAAGTTGCATCGTCCTTGTCGCCCGTTTCGACACCGCCATTATTATTGCCACCGTCCCAGCAACTGCAACCGCAACCGCAACAGCAACCGCAACAACAAAAAATGACAAATGTAAATGCTAAATGCCCTGCTTTCGAATCGCATTACATGACCGATGAAAAACCGCTAGCGATCGACTCAGCAATGCATCCCTGTTATGTTGAGAATCAATCCTCTTCGTCTTCGTCCTCACCCTCTCTCGGCACCGCAACGTTGTCTGTCGATGCCGATGTTAAATCGAGAAATGACGTCACGTCTGACACAAAGGTTGGTTCGTTGTTTGCTCTTTGTTTGCGGGTTTGTTTGTTTGTTCGTTGATGGTTTGTTGTTTGTTTGCTTGCATGTTTTTTTGTTTGTTTTTTGACGGTTTGTTGTTTGTTTTAAGATGGTTTGTTGCTTTTTTGTTTGCTTTTTATTTGTTTTGTTTATGTTTTTGCTTGTTTCGTGATTTTCGCCGTCAAATCGCGGTTGGTTTGTAATCAGTAGTTTCGGGCTATTTTTTTGCACGATTCGTTGTTAGTTATTAGTTATAAGCCTATAATCCTTATTAATTAGTATTTTAGATTTGATAATCTCGACACGTACATTTGCAAGCAACATGTTCAAAATTTACTTAATAGGCATCAGTCAAATGTCAGTATGCCAGGCGCATAAAACACGGATACCAAAATTTACATCTATCTAAACACACCACACACACACACAAACTTACAGAGAGAGAGGGAAAAAGAGAGAGAAAGAGAGACAGACAGAGTCAGAGACACACACACACACACAGGCACATGCAAGTACACTCACTCCCAAGAGCTTGAACGTGAAAAAACGCACACACAAACTCATGTACCACAACGTCAGGTATGCACCAGTACAAGCGCAAAAACAGAGGCACTCGGTCAGTAGTAGAGGCACTGTGGTCCAGTAACACTCAAACTCCATTCATTACACTCATCCATTATCGTTCATTCATTCGTGTCTCTTCATTATACAACCAGAAACGAACAGACATTAAACAAGAAGGTAGGTTAATAAAGACACACACGCGCGCGCGCACATGAGCACACATTCACATTTGAACGCTATATACAATGACAATACCATGCGCGTTACTGACTGAGCAAACACAGAAACAATCGTAGGTGCAGATCATTTAAAAACACAAACACAGACCTATGAAAACATTGAGCAACAACTCAAGTGACAAATAACTCTAATGTATAATACGCTGGCTTGTACACATAAACATACCACCAAACTCACACAACCGTATATACTTGCACACATATAAACATACACACCCATAAACATATATATACAAACATACACACTTACATACACACATACATACGTATACACGCACATACGCGCACACACTACAGCATAATAACAAACAACTGGACAGACAGGAGACTTTAAACTATAAGAACTTAATGTGGCTCCTGTGCCCCCGCTTTAGTGCAACGTTAAGATGAAATCACTCAACTATGAATGGATGGATGATTGAATGCATGAATGAATAGACAGATGGATGAATGGATGGGTGGATAGATAGATTGATGAACTAGTAGGTGGATGGATTGACAAACAAAAGAATGGATTAGTAGATAGATGGAAAGACGAAAAGATAGCCAATCGCAGATAAAGAGACGAAGACAAACAGACAATGATATAATTCAATAGGGATAGTGTTTTATATATTATTGTGTGCAAACACTTAAAAAATTATATTTAATCACACACAAAAAAATCATGCTTTATAAATGAAGACACCCAAACAAAACAAACATTCCACTTTTATAGAGTATTAAATAAACAAATCAACACTAACCAGTGCCAACAAGTACACAAACATACAAACCAAGTTGGCATACAGTAACAGCACAGTAAAATTTCTGAATATAAGATGGCGAGGCTAATACAAATACCGCAAATACCGTAAAATCAAATTACTCGCTAATGTAATACCAAACACTCTCAATTACTGCGGACAAAACTAAAGTAATGGAGTTACAAATTGATAGTGTCAAGCTTGTAGAAATGTAAATATGCAAGGGTACGTTTGCGTTTCTCTGTGTATTTCTTTGCTGGTCTGCGTGTGACGTTTCAGTGTGAAATTAACTGTGTGTGTTTGTGTGAATGTGTTTGCGAGTAGTGTGCCTGCTTATGTATGTGTTTGTCAGATGTATCATTTGTTTTAAAGTATACAAGTTTGAAGTCTGTGTTTTTGTTGTTTGTGTGTAGAGGCCATAGTGAACAAAATAGCGTGCACTTGTATGTTTTCTCTTGGAGTTATACAACATCCTTGTCAATAAATTCATTAAGTATGATGTTATTTTTTGTTATCTTTAAAAATAATTTTTTTCTTATCGTCTCAGCTATCGAGATAAATACTGCTCGTAAAATCCCAAACATTCCATGCATTATGAAATGATGTAGTTAGAAGCAGGGAATTAATTGAAGCAAATGCGATGCAAACATCAGAAATGTTTACAATCAATTTTGTATGTACGAGCCAAATGTCATATCCACTTTCATTCGTATGTTTGTAACTCCAGATAAAAAATCGGCTAAAACATGAAAACGTACTTTTGCGTGTACGAACGTGTTTGTGTTTCAGGTTAGTTTAATGTTTTTTTGTTATTACTAACTTAATATTTTTTATTAATAGAGTGTTACGGTAGCACTGTTTTTCTTATTAATTTATGTTAATGTTTCACAGATTTTAGATCTCAGTGTAAAATATACAGTCTGGTATATTTAACTGCCGTGCTTTCAAAATAACATCTGGAGATTCAATTGTTTTTCAGCTGGCTTAATAAACGTCGTAAACATCCAAATGCAAAAAATAAAATA